GCCGGGCGCTTGGGTCGAGCCAAACACGCCGGACTCGGGACCGAAACTTTGCAGGAAGAAACGGGATCGTCGCCACCGGCCTCCCTCGGCGTCGTTAGAAAAGCCAAACGCTGACCACATTGAATCCATTGAAAGCAACGTGGCTGCCCTCGGGGTTCACAACGCCTGACTGCGTTGTTGGTTTGATAGCAAAACGCGCTTTCAGCGTTCAGTGAGGCGGACTGAGCTTTGCCATTTTACTGCGGTACCGCTGGGCTGCGAGAGATCCAGTCTGTGCTTACTGTTGACTGCCGATTTTATTAATTTTTTTCTTCCCCTAATGGTATACTTAGTAGCTTAAAGTTTGTACCGTGACTAGGTAACAGAAAAGCCTGTGTTTATTCATGCTGTGGCCTAGTCTTTGCGATTCCATAGGTTTCAGCATTTTCCAATTTCTGAATATTAATTTTTCCCCTATGAAACTGCAGCGCTGACGTAGCAATTTCAAGTTTGACGACAAGAATGCTGCTTTTCCTCTTGCCTTAAATCTTTGAAGCTGACATTCCCAATTGGCATACGTTGCCAAGATCCCTTTTCTTGTAATGCTTTGAGAGCAGTCAGGAAGCTTGCTATTGTATTTGCCACACCCTTTTTGCATTGTTCCACCTTTGCTCAGTTTTCTGCTATTCCTGTAATACCAGTGCTGTTAGTTATTTTGTGCATGTGTGTAAGCCTATGTTGACTGCAAAAGACATAACGAAAGCAAAGTTAAGGGGTCAGGGGCTAAGTGAGGGAGGCTGTCTCTTGAGAGACAGGGAAGATAATCTGGACTGGATGTCTAGGAAGTTAACTGAGCCTGGATGTCTACCTGACATTTTTGTGCTTTATTTCTCCACAAGATGGAAGCCAAGACCCATCTCGAACCCTGCTGTATGGCTTTTACTGGAGACCTGAGCATGCAGTGCTGTACTGTACAAGCCATAGAGAGAAGCTTACGAAGAGCAGTCACCCTTTCACGTCCCTTTTTTTTCATCTTGTAACCACACGTTTTATCAATGCTACTATCCTAGGCCACTGCCAGTCAAATGGAAGGCTCAAGACCGCATCGAGAATTTGGGGTTTGTCTTCAGTGCAAGCAAGTGTGTTATTTCCCTTGCCCTGACAAATTGCATTCTGTCATTACCTCTTACAAATTAATACAAGTAAGTTACTAATGACTCACTGGTGATACTGAGATCAGCTGCATGCCACTTTCTCTGTATTCATTCACGGCTTTTAATGCAAACAGGAGATACGATACATAAAATACATATTAATGGAGAGATGTGTCAGTTGCCTGTGATGATTTGATTCCTTATTTCAAATAAACTGCAGGATTTCTGCACCAAATACTAGCTTTCTCCATGTATGCAATATAGGCCAGGGTAGAATTCGTTAACTGTCTTTTCCAGTTCTTGGACTATACTGCCGTGTAGCTACTAGCTGGCTTGTCCTGTAAAAAACAATTCTCCCCATCCTAGCTTGAAGTGCCTGCAATGCACCTGTATTCTTCTTAAAAAAAGAATTAAAAATACATCTGACTTGACTGGAACACAATGAAACACAATTATGCATTGGGTAGAAAAGGGAAAGGTCTTTTTTGCTAAGAAAAAAAGTAAAATAATTGAAAATCCATTTCTGCTGAATCCATTTTCTTTTACCATTGAGTTGCTGAGCTGAAAAACCATTGTTTGCACTGAGGTACTCCATTATACCTGCACAGCTCAAAATCCTCACTCCTTGCTGTGGAAGTTTTTAATTTCTTTTTGCTAGTTACATAAGTTGCCCTAAAACCTGCTTCTGCTACAATTAGAACGCTGCACTGCATATTTATTGGCCAAATAATCCTTTTCTTCACTCTGTTTTAAGTCTGCAATTGCTGGGCTCAAGGATCATGACCCCATCAAAAAAGATCAATGTAGTTTGATGTATTTTAAAAGCATTTAAAAAATACCTTCTTTATACATGTATGATACGCTAGTAACGCAGCTCACACAAGCTCTCTGGTCACACCCAGTGACTACATTCCTCTTTATTTTGCCGTTTCAGGGGTTTAGATACAACAAGCACATTCCTAGCTCTGCACAAATCGCACTTTCAGTACTAGACCACACGCACTCAAAGTATGTCACAGTAAAGATTTCTGAAAGCAACATACAAACAAAATGGAGGGATCAAGCCTTTAGCACAACGAGCTCAAACTGCCTCAATGTAGTCGCATTTTTCTGCAGAATATTGTGCTTTTTTTCTTAGAACTATTACACTTGGAGACATAACAGAACGAAATTACAAAAGCATTTGCTAGTGTCATGATCCAGCAAATTACAGTGCACTGGGCAGATACTCGACTCCAGTTTCTGACATCAGAAAGTCTCCTCAGTCAGAGGAGTTCATAGGTAAAGTCATAAAACTTGCCAGAATTTTCACCTTAAGACAGCAAACTCTCCGTATCCACCTCACTTACATTTACAGACACAATTTGCAACCACTGTTTGGAGCTGGGATGCACAAACAAGTGTGTAATCATAACGGCGTACAGCGTATGTAACGTCACAGGCTCAGCAAAAGCAGTTCCTCCATGTATTTCAAAGAAATACAAGCCCTGCATGTGGCTAATGCACACAGAGTTTACACACAGATGTAGAAGTTTTGTAATTTCAGAGATGTTGGAAGTATAAGAATATTTTAGATGTTAAGTATTAAAAATTGTTCCTCCCTTTTCCCCAACAAAACGTCCATAGAACAACTCTTAACAGCATGTCTTTGCTATTTTTCATTTGCAGTTATCTTTTATAAATTACTCTTCCTTTTTTTAAATTTTACTTTATGGTTGAACCTGAAACAGAAAAACTCTCCTCTCCCCACACACACCCCCATCTAGCACAAAATTTAAAAAAATAAATCCCAACAAAATGCAGAAAGAAAATCTAATAACATTGGCACTAATATTTGCCAACACTCACATTTTGGCTCCTGATATTTTTATCTTTCTGAGACAGTGCTGTTCCAAGTCTGATCCAAGTCTTACATGTCAGATTTTGCCTCCAATTAAGCACGCAGCAGCCAATTCCTCCGTTCCTTTGTCCTGCAACAAATCCACCATCGAGCAGTTGATCAGAGCAGGACAAAGCTCTTGGGCTTCTAGAAACACATGGGCATAGCAAGCCCAGAACACGCCCAGAACTCTGCAAGCCCTTACTGGTGACTGTGGAGAAGGTGGCGGGCGAGGGCGGCCCCTGGAAGGGCTCTTGTTCCTTCACCCAGCACCAGCCAAGTGCACAGGAGAATACAGGTACAGGTGCAAGGCCTTCGCAACCACCTCCTCCCCTGCCAGGCAGCTTTGATTCCTCCATGAGCTCTTCCTCTGTTTTGAGGCTTGACAAGGAAATCCACACGCTCCCCCTTCCTCTTTGCTCTCCAGAGGACCTCAAACTGTCAGACAGAAAGGCACTGCTTTCTGCTCTGTCATACAGAAAAACTGAGGTCCTTGTCTAGAGGACAACAACAATGACTCTCAAAATATCTAGGGATTGATTTTTTTTTTTAAATGGTAAAAAAAAAAAAAAGAGCATATTCCTGCTTTATAAGAGATTTTTTTTCCCTGTTTTCTTTTAGACCTGGTCTCTTCTAATTGGTTTTTATGTTTCCTGCTGTTCTTGACAAAAAAACCTCTTTCTGCTGTAGAGGAATTTATAATTAAAAATGCAACATTCTCTGCGGAAATAACAATTGCAACACCATACAATTATTTTTCTTCAGTATAACTCACATGAACACTAGGTGCACTTACAACATTTATTCAGATTTTTGTTTTTTAAATTATTGGACAAGGAAATATGTAATATTAACACTCCACATTAAACAAACATACCGGTTTCCTACAACAGAGATTTCTGCCTTTGGACTACATGATAATGCACTGCCACAGATGAAAAGATAAAATTTAGTTGGGAAAGGACAAGGACATTCCTCAGGGAGAAAGGCCATTAGCATGAGCAGTTCTGCTGCGAAGGGGGTGGGTTGTCTGTGAGTCGCATGCTTCTTCCAGAAGTGCCCCTGGAAGGGTCTGATTCTATACTCTCTGACATCTTTTCACAGATTACATCCACGAGACGCTCAAACACCTGCCTTACATTGATGTTTTCCTTGGCACTAGCTTCAAAATAGTCAAAACCTGTGAGAAAAAGTGGGGAAAATATGTCAATAGAGACTGATGATAACTAAGATGGTTTTTAAAATACTAACAAATTTTTTCAGAATTCATCTTAAGAAAGCAAGACATTAGACAATTCTTAAGCTCAGCTGATTCCCACAATCTCAAGCAGAAATACTTCTAAATTTGTCAAGCATCAGTAAGAGTCAAAGGCATAAATGGATCCCTACCATAGCCTGGGTAACACATCTGCGGATGATACAGATCTGAATAAACCCAGGACAAGGGAGTCAAATTCTCCCCATTACATCAGTGAAGAGCCCCTGGGCTGCAGCTGCTGCTGACACATCACTAACTGGTCACGTATGAAGGGGCCTTCCTGGGCTCCACACACCCAGGCTTACTCTATGAACCACTGCTGCAGTCTGGCAAGAGCAGAGACCAGAAAGAGAAGCGAGATCGTGGTTATATTCCTTCTGCTGACTAACTTCTGAGCTTGTGAGCAAAATGCTCCATGACTTTGGTCTTGTTTTTTCCCGTTCTTTGTCTGTTTAGACAGAAAGCTCTTCAGGGCAATTAATACTCACACAGCACACGTCACGACAGAGCACCTGTCCTGACAAGGGCTGTTCAGCACTGCTGAATTACAAATAATGCCGAGTGCCTCCTACAGAGTAACTTCAGCGTCCAGTTGCCAGCTCCTGCCTGCAGTGATGAGTACGGATTCTCAAACACTGACCCTTTCTGATTAAAAAACACCAAACCAGCAAGGCTGGAGTTCTGCCAAGGTGGGGATGGCACAGACAGCTACCTGTTGCCACCCCGCACGACACAAGAGCCAGCCTTCTCACAGACAAGCCTGAACCCTGCCTCAGCCAGCAGAAACGCGCTGAACTGTGAAGCATTTCTTTATCTTTCTAGCCCCAGGGGCCTCAAAGGCCAACCATCATTTACAATGGCTGTTGCTTCTGTTCCACCAAGTTATTATATTGCCAACAGCAAGAGCTCAAGCACCACAGAGTTTATTTTGCAATAAGCTACATTCTGTTGTGCTTCATGTTGGGGATGTTCTGCATTGCACCAGTTTTCTTTGATTCTGCCACAAATGAAGAGAAATATAAGTCGCCTTAACTGATCAGTCTGCCACTGCTGGTAGACTGAGTCACCTTGATGTGTGAGATAACAAGTAGGTATCTACCCCATTCTAACACTTTTTAAAAACCATGGGACAACAGGTGAAGTGATGGTGGAGATGTTTGCCTCATTACTAAACAAGGACGGCTGTTCTGCATCAGACGAGGGTTCTGCCTGCCCCACTTGCTATCTTTGATGATGATTAAAAATGTACATAGAAAGCACAAGAAATCAGAGAACTGAACTTATTTATCAGTCCAACATTGGTTTACCTTCTGCTATGGCTGAATTTGTTTTCGTTTAGTTCATGTTCAGGCCAGTAACAATTTCTTAATCTGATTAGGAAATTATTTCAATGCACGACAAACTTAGATAAACACACTGAAGGATAACTTTTATGTGAATCATTGTGATGAAAGCTAGCAGTTTAAGCAGCTGACAGTCAATTAAAGAGATTCCTCCCTCCTAACACACAAAATAATTTCAGATAGTGCTGTATTAGCACAGTTAATATAATGGAAAACTGACTGATAAAACCCGATATATTTTTCAGCCCTTTGGAAAAGAGCATTTAGTATTTTGGGAGGCTACAGAAGAGGAGGACTGGGCAGCACTTTCCAAAGGCACGGTTAGCTTTTGTTTTGCTGTGCAGTACTGTGGTGTGTTTCTCCAGGGTGAGCTGGACAAGCGGGAGGACAAGTCCGGGGCAGGCAGTTGCCTACCGATGGAGTCAGTTGCTATGGTAACTCTGTGCGGTGTGTTTTGAAGTTCCCCTATGTAAAGGATTCGGATTCTAGATGCCAAGTCTGTATTTAAACAAACGGATGAATTTTGGGGGGAGGAAAAAACATTAGAAGTCCAAATAGGTGTCAGAGTTCCAGTAACACTCACTATTTGCTGTTACATTGTTCTGGACAAATTTTCAAGTACTAACAGTGTAATTACTCTTGCAAAATATGTGGGCGCACATGCATTCACAACCGTTTTAAGAGTCTGCAAGCCAGGAACTGAGTTTATTCATGTTCATATTTTCAAAATCAAATTAAATTCTCATGTGCGAAAAAGAGCCCATAACTGATTCTGCAAACTAACCATGTCTGTGTTTGCTTTGCTAGTCCTACATGTAAAGAATTGTTATTACAATAATAATCATGATGGGAAATTAGAGGGTTTAGTTTGATATTTGCTCATTATTTATTTATGATGGCAGCACCTCAAGGCTCCAGTCAGGAATGGGAGGGACCCCTTTGTGCTTAGCACAGGTAGAATTTACACCTAAAGGCTCTAAACCTGCAGGCCTTTGCAGACATATCTTTTTTTTTTTTTTTCTTAGCATGTGAAACATGAAAAAATAATCTGATTGGTCTCAACTCTTCAGAACAGTGTCCATCTTTTGGTTTATATCACACAGGTCTCTATCACAAAGCTACCCTTTATACTTATCTGTGAGTAGGATTTCTATACCTTCCCTTCATTAAAAGCAAAGCAACACAACAATAACAAAACACTCAACTAAAAAATACTCATTATTTAAGATTCAACCATAATTGGCAATCTGATCAAGGTCACCCTTTAAACTACAACACTCTATGCAGTGTGTACTGGAACTCCAGTACCCCCAGTTTAACAACATATTATGCACCCTCCAATTACTGCTTAAGAATTGAAGACCACATAGGATTTTATAAATTGAGGATGACAGTGATTCCTTTGGGTCTGGTAAGAATCTCTACTCTTATGAGGTAAACAAATACAGTATACCCACTGTAAGGGTCTGCACTGTTAACTAGATTAAATTTTAACAGGATTTACTTGCCACTGTGAATTCTTTAAAAGATGTCAACAGTATAGTTGAATCTCAACACAGAAGCCCCGATTCCATATTAAAAAGATCATATATACTTAATATATAATGAAAAAGTATAAATAAATGAGAAATCAGGATGAGTTGTTGTTCATTCTAAAATTTTCATTGCAAACACAGCTTCCTCTCAGTGGAACTGTCTTGCTTTTTTTATCCCATATCAATAACACAATGTCATTTCCTTACCTGGATGGAGAAGCACGGTACATTTTTAAAATATATTTTACTCAGCTCTGTATAAACTTATTTTTTCACTGTTTGGTTGAAAAAAAAAAATTCTCCTACAAAAATCAGTGTTTGCATTCTGAAAATGACTATATGGTACTTAGAGAACTGGAGACAGAATTGTGTTCATGAAAACTTCCCTTTTTGTTCCGCTGAGCTAATAAAAGCTGTTTTCTCCAGACTAACTTTATCTTCCTTACATCCTTAGATATTAGCTTTACAGATACAGCAATGCTACACGATGGTAGTATTCAACACTAAGAAAACAAAATAAGGACCTAGACCATATTACCCTTCTTAGCTGATACCATTATTAAAGTATTACTGCTGGAAGGACTTTTTATCGTACAAATTAAAAGGAACATAGTATAAAGAAGCAGAGGAAAAAGAGTAGAAAGAAAAGCTTTGACATGTACCTAGCTGATCTGCCAGATGTTTCCCCTTCTCCACAGGAACAATTCTTTCATCCTCCATGTCACATTTGTTTCCGACCAGGATCACTTGTGCATTGTCCCAGGAGTAAGTCTTGATTTGCGTGGCCCTACAGTAGGTCAAAAAAGATTGTTACCTTCCATCAGCTGTGCCAAAATACAATCATAATTAAGTATGAAAACAAGTACCATTAATGACAACATCAACATCTCAAGACTGTATGTTGGTTAAAAGACAAATCAAGAACACAGACTATGTAACTTATAGCACTATTCGATTTTACTGCTCCTTAACTTTGTGTGACAATAAAGTTTCTTGTTACGAATTTGCAAGTGTTTCAAAAATTGTGAGATCCCACCAAAAAGCTGAATTGAAGAATTTTTGAAGCCTAGGGACAAAAAAGAATTCTTCTAAAGCTTATTCTCCTTCAGCTGTAACCTGTCAGAGGAACGACAATCAATTACACCTCTTAAGGATATTGTCCCTGTAGAGAAAGCCATACAATAGATACATGCTTCATGCTAGATTTATAACTTCTTGTAAAACACATAATAACAATAATTCAAAGCAAATGAAAAAGATGTTCATTTGCTGCAGGACATTTGCTGCAGAGTTTTAGTAACACCGTAAGAAATTTTATTTTGAGAGTCAAACAGATGGAAGCATCAAATCGTCTTTGCTTGAACTGAAAAGACTGAAAATTGCATAGAAAGATGGAAACAATTGCTAAAGAGAACCAGAAATTTACCAAATTGGGAAGATATAGGATCAAGGCAAGGCTCTGTGAGCTATTATTTGAGCCCAGCAGGATTAAGTGGTACCTAAAGCAGGAAGCAGCAGATGCAATGACAGACGGGAGGTATCAGACAAATGCAGACTTCAATGACAGAGAGATGAAGTGCATGGGAGCTTAAGCAGGAGCACTGGAATGAACTTAAAGCCTCTAAAGCTCTCTGTGGCTCATGTGCTGAAACTGGAGTGGAGCTAGCTGTGGATCCCAGGAGTTTGACCTTACATTTGGCCTCTTTATAGTTTTTCTGTGACAAAACAGAAGATATTTTTTCCTGTTTAACCTGAGGGGCCAGTCCTTTCCCACCATCCCCGCTGAGGTGTCACAAAGCCAGCAGCAGAACAGTATTAGCCTGGTAGCATTCATTTTCATCCATTTTTTCCAACCTATTTTATCTTCACCAAGCTAGCTCTATCTTTTAAGACTCCCTCCTTCCCAAAGCTAATTAGGCTGCTCTGCCAGAAGCAATATGCTCCTTCCTTTCTTCACCCCTCCTCCAGTCCCTAACTCACCTTCCCATTCTTTGTCCTTGCTCGCCACCCCTCCATACAGGACACCGCAGTTTCAGACAAACCTGCCATTTCCCAGGAAAGCCAGGATTCCCCTCAAATTTTTACTTCTCTTTAGTTTGCTTGAACTCCCTTAACAACACAGCACTTGATTCCTTCTCTTTTGAATTAGCATCAGCCTCCAGCTCTGATCTACTAATGATAATTTTTAATTAGTTTGAGTTGCTTATTGCCTTTTCCATGGAAAGCAGACAGTCATGTTACCCCACAGATACCTATGAAAAAGAGGGTCATTTCACCATGCAACTTGCCTTTAACAGCCTGTTTGGATTGCACTGGAACATAACCCTAAATGACATAAACCTAAACACTGCACAAACCCAGAGAGAGCCCCTGGGCAGTCACGTGGGGACACACTGCCAAATCTTAGCTATTTAAACAGAATTACTTAGAAAATGAAAAGAAGAAAAAGCATGAAGGCTCTCCCACAGAAAATCATCCTTCTGCGATTCTGTGATTCTCCTGGTTTGTACAAGTTAGTGAAAATCTTCTCTTGCAGAACACTGCTATTTACACTTTTTAGGAATAAAAACAGACAAAAAGTTATGAAGAAGAACATCTAAAAGAAACCCTGATCCCTACGCAAAAAAAGAAAGGCAGCAAATTTCCAGAAGCTTTTGGAAAGCTAAATGAATAAATAAATAGGCTTGTGCAATTATGATATTTCAACAACTATCAGGGCAGTTCAATATACACACTGGGAAAAATATATTTCTGTAACACAATAACAATACTGTGCCTTATTTGTGCTGAATTCCCCAAATTAATGATAAAGCATGGCTTTTAGGCTTCACGCTTAGAAGAAAAATAGCATCAGGTTCACAGTTACATAGATATATCAACAGCCTAATTTGGAAATCAGCCTTAAAGATAAAGCAAGCTGCTGATTTGTGAACCTAGCTGTCACTTAAATCTAAGTTAAATTTAACCAATTTTTTCTTTCCTTCCACGAAACTGTCCAAAGCAGAATTTCCATAATATTTTCGATTTACTTTACAGTACCAAACACTGAGTATAGTCTAGTTTCAGTACTGTTTCAAATGAAGTATAAACCACTGATTTATCTACACACAAAACTATCAAGCCAATGTCAAATAACTGTCAAAGGAACCCACTAAAAAAATCTAGAAACTGAGCTGAAAGCCATGAAAGCTCATTTAACCTTTTCAGTCACCCTACAGGAAAGACGTCTTATTATTCAAACAAAATAATTAGATATTTTCAAATATCAGGTAAAATCCGTCTTTGCTTTTGCCCATTTATGCTTTTTCTTCTAAAATATCCTGACTGTACTCTTGCCACCCTGCAGTAAGGAAAATCACTCAGGCTTAATCTTTTAAGTCTTCTCATACAATCTGCTGTACCTTTTCCAGCAAAGGAACAAGAGAACAGGACATGTTTTAGATATTCCCAAATTATTTTAAATTGTGTATCTTAGTCTTTCTCATCTGCTTTAAGATAATTACCATTAATTAGGGCGATTCACATGAATGAAGGAAAGACTGTACCTCACATTCATACACTGCCTGGAGAGCTTGTGTAAACACCTGATACACAGCCATGATCCTCATTCAGGAGAAAGAGTGCCTTTACTTGGTTTAGTAGAAGTATTTCTGGAGCAGCACAAAGCAAACCAGAATCCTCTTTAGGACACCATAAGAAGTGTATGGTAAAAAGATCACCCAAGGAAGAAATCATATGGCAGACTGGAAGAGAGATTCTCCTTTCCCTTGCGGGCAGGGGAGGCTAGGTCAGGAGGCTGTTGAAACAGTCACATGCCAATGAGCCAGAGATGAGAGGTAAAGTGCACCATGCATACATGGGAGGCAGTTTTAGAGGGGGTGTTGGAGCTTCGTGAACAGGCTTGGAGAATAATAAGGCTTGTGAGCACAACCTGCTATGGCAATTTCCCAGCTAGAGGGAGGATATAAGCTCTAAGATGCTGGAGAGGTCTAAAAGGGAAAAGATTTCTCTCTGATGGAGAGCTGACTTTGCACAAGGCTACCTTCCCATAAATTCAGTGTAATTATGAAGACGAATTTTGAGATCTATGCACACTCCTATGAGCTCAACAGAAGGTAAGAGTTTGGCATGGGCGAGAGCTTACTTGGAGCGCTAGGTCTCTGTTTCACTTGTCTGTTCATGCTTTTGGCTTGTTTTCTGTAGAGAACTCTGCAGGAAGAGATGGTACAAGCGAAAGCAGTGAGATGGGCTGAGATTCCTGTTGACAATCTGGTTACACAGAATCTTAAAAACCCTGAATCACTCAACAGCAATAATCAGGGCACCAGCAAGAAGGAACAAGAGAACTGGAGAATGTGCTACTGTAAAACACATAGATGACTACTGTACACAACTTGTCCTATTCCAGGGTTTTGTGAATGGGTACAATTTTAGGATCCAGGAATTATGTTCAGGTGGGACATTCTTACCAGCCAATGAGAACGGATTGGGAAAGCAGCCAAAAGTTAGTGGAAGGGGCATCAATTTGTATGTTATTTGCTGATGATTTTCTTGAGGTATCCTCCTAAGCTTGATTTTATTTGCTTTATGAACCCAGTCCCATGATCACATGGCAGATGGCTTACTCATCTTATTATGCCAGAGAAACACTCAAATTCCATCTACATACACTATTTTAGAAAGAACTGGGAAGGTTAACAAGTTCCTTACTGGATTTAATTCACATTACCTGAGTACTGCTGATTTATTCTCAGTGTCTAAAAGGTCAGCCAATCTGCTGCATCATGCTGCATTTACAACAAAATATTCAGCCTAACAGTATTCTTTTATCTAATGTAGCTGGACACTGAAAAATGCATCGCTAGCCAGCTAGGATAGCAGGACACTTAAAAGAGAGAAAGGATGTGGAGGATTAATTGCTGTAATTTCTGCAAACTTGAAGGATGTAAGAAGACCTGGGATGAGCTTGGCTGTTAGCTTTTGCATATATTCTAGGTGGATGCCCCATTTGATTTCTTAGACTTACCTAGTGTGGTTTGTTGTAGCCTCACTTAAACCTCTGCAAGCAGAGAGGTAACTCATGTATCGAGCCACATATCTTCCTTGCAAGGTAAAAAGCAGCTTGCAACTTTGCCATTTCCTGGGAATCTAGAAGCAACATTACTGAGGGTAACAGCTTCATTAGTGGAGAAGAGGTGGTTCAGGCACTTGTCCTCTCATCAGACCATCTCACATCCCAAACCTTCTGGCTCCAGCCCTCTCACCCTTAGGAGGTCCTCCCTCTTGGACAGAGCAGGCAGAGGAGGAAGGCTGTCCTATCCACACGTGATGGATGAGACGAGGCAGGGCTGAGCAGCAGGGGCATGCTACTGACTTTCCAGCCTGTGCAGCTTCCCAATTGCTGCCACTCCATCCTCCCACCAGCACCAAACAGAAGCACTGCAGGACTGCTAGGGCTCCGGTTCTATCACAGGCATGCTGCTGCTGTCTCACAGTTGAGCTGAAGAAGGGACTAAGCTGACAGAGATAAAGGCTCTGAGCTAAAGGAGCTCAAGTAGCAGACACCGTAATTTCCCACAGAGAGTACAGTTCCTGACTGAAGACCAGATCCAATGTAATGTTTTTTTGAAGCGTATCACCCAGCATGGTGGAAAAAAAAAATCCTACCTACTTCCTAGGCTAGCAAATGGCAGAGGCTGATATAGCTAGCAGCACCACACAAAAGCTTTTGTTTCCATTTCTTGTCCCTTCGGAAGTTTAGAAAGCAATTTTGCAGACTGGGAAAAAAAACATGTTAGCTACATCGCCACTAGAGGACTCTGCGGGCACAGCGATGCTGGCTTTGCTACAGTCATCTCTCCTGTGGTCAAGCTTCGCAAAGGAAGAAAATGGGCTACCACAGGCCGATTTTATCTGCCACACTACATCATTTGGGCTCAGAATATTAAAACTGATGGTTAGAAAAATTCCTGACATACAGAGTAAAATCAAACAGTGAGGGTTCACCTCTATCCTTTGGCTTATGATAAGGTGCTCTTAGCAAAGATACTAACAAGGCCCCTGCGGCACAGGAAGACATGAAGTCAAATACAGAAAGCTGACCTTTCCTAATTCTTGCACTCTTGCATCGTTGCCTTTGATGGAAAAGATGTTAGATCATCTCCAATACAAAGCCTCCGGTTAAACTTCACCTGTGCAAACTTTAAAATAGTAGCAGCTCATAGATTGAGATTTGGGATTTTTTGGCTAAATTAAGACTGATAGGTAAAACTTATGAGAGGAACCAACAGACAGACAGATGAACTGGTCATATACACCTTGTTTCTTCAGGAAACAAGCTGAAAATATTTACAGTTTAGTGAAAGATATCGCCCTAGCTTACATGCCTGCACTCACATGGAAAAAAATCCCTGTGCAGACATTTGCAGAAACAGCTTCATCTGAGCTTTGTGGAGGGTCTGCCACATGGAGGAATCAGGTTTTGGAAAAGTCTTTGGGTTTGTGTTTCTAGCAAGGAAAAAATTTATTCTTCTATCATTAGCTGCTGAAGAAGAGAGAGCTCAGGGAAGGTGTTGCAGTTCACCTTCCGCAGCACTGCCATGGTACTGGAGGTGGGGTGAAAGCAGAGACTGCATATTTAGATGTGATAACCATGACCAACTCCTTCAGTGGTCAGAGAGAACAAGTAATGGGCAGCCTTGGAAGAAGGCCAAATTACTAGGGACAACAAACCACGTTGTTGCAGTTTTTGAGTTACAACCTAGATTAGGGGATATAGAATAGGTGTTCAGCAAAAAACCAGACTGAGCTGTATGCTAAAAGCCAGTGCTATAGCCAGCATATGTCACATGCTCCTGGTAGGTCACTGAGATCATTGCAAATCAATCTATCGAACTTGGGAGATTACATTAACCACTGCATTGCCTTTCTTTGCACGCTGACCGTACCTATCTGCAGTATACAGCAACAGGGTAACAAGCAGAAATGGTTGCAAGACGTTTGAGGGGAGACACAAAGAAGCCAGCTACTTCTGAGGATAAACACAGCCTTTCTTCTCCCTCCCCATGCTCTGTATTTCCTATGCGAAGTCTGGTGCCCATTTGAGAGCATACCATGTCGGAAGGAGAGCTCCAGCAACAAGGTCCAGCCTTTTGCTTATCTGTGCTGTGCCTGCGCCTACTACCTCACAGCAGCAGCTCTGATGTTTTCACCTCAGGCACTGTGCTGGGTCCCTGCTGAGAAAACACCTCCCGTCAGCTACCACCGAGGGGGCTGCAGGCACTGCCCATGGCCACAGCAACGACATGTGCTTTGGCAATTCTAGGAAGACCACTACTTTTCCTGCTCTGTACATGTACTTGTCTGGAAGGCAGGAGAGCAGAAGAAGGTCTGGGCCACAGCTCCGTTTCCAAAATCGGATCACAGTGTGGGGTGAGATAGGACATTTCTTCCTGAGGAAGACGACAGGTAGCATGAGCTATGAGGGAGGCGTCCAGGTAGGGAAGGGGAAGTGCACACCAAAACATCAAGGAGACAAGCCTGGGTACCAATGCAGCTTTGATATTGCCGCAGAGTTTTTGAAGTGACTGACTTGTTGCTTTCTTTTTTCACTGTAAGCCAAAACTGTTTCCTGGCTTTTTGTCATCAGAAATTCTAGAAATAATTTTCTGGTACTGAATTCAGTGGAGCCAGAGGACCTTGTAACAGCTGAGAATCGGTTTCATACATAGTTTTAGGGCTAAGTCCTCACCCTTCCCATTTAATAAGTAACTCCTTCTCCCCCATCTCACCATTCCACACTGAGTACTGCCTTACAGAGAGGTTCAGGTGCTTTCTGTAGTCAGTGGCAACAGACAGGCCCCTTCCAAGGGGTATACTTGCTTTCTGTCCTAGACCTTGCTCTTCCTCCTCTTATTACAATTACAGCTAATTTAATCTTCACAAGGTTTAAATGGGTAAAGTTAGATTTTCAGTTATCTCAAGTTACGCAAGGTGAATGCTGTTCCATGTGTCTACACTTGTAAGTTCAAAAAAACCAAACAAACCAACCACCACTTTTCAAGGTAGTTTGGAAAGGTTTAGCCTTATTAGACCTTAAATGAGATTTGACTCAAACAACCACTGTTAAACTGGATTGTTTTAGCATCATAGACAGAAACCTCATATGCCCAAATAATGCATTAAAGGATTAATTTCTTTACAATAAATTAGAACTTTTAAAAGCAACAACTGCTATAGTATGCTACTATATTTGAATTACAACTTTTTCATTGAAGTGAAGCTGTAGAACTTTTTCTAAGGAGAGTTTAAAAGACAAATTATTTATCCCAGAGTTTAGATGAGGAGGAAAGAATACAGTGATACAAAGCACTGTTGAGGGTGGGATGTCTAATATTCTCAACAAACAATTGCAAGGAGAGAATTGGCCAAAAAACTAACAAAGCCACCACCAACAATATTTCATACCAGTCCTGCACTGCATTGAAGGAGTCTTCACTGGTGATATCATACATGAGGACGAAGCCCATGGCTCCTCGGTAGTAGGCTGTAGTGATGGTCCTGTATCTTTCTTGTCCAGCTGTATCCTGGAACAGAAAGGAATATTTAGGTTGTAAGACTTCAGTTCTCAGAAACATGAGTTGTAGTTAGGTCCTATATCCAAAATAAGGCAACCATTTTTTGTTACTATACATTTTTAAATTCTCATTTCCTCCAACTGAAATGAACCTGACTTATATTTTAGCATTAATTGGGCTTTTGCATCAACTGTGATTTGTTAAATGCATCTTGACACATGTATTATTAAAAAATACCAAAGATGTCAACCCTTTAATTGCTGTTCTCTGCCCTAGCCTCAATGCAATAATAAAATGTTAGCAGAGTTCACTGAAAGCTGACACTTCAAAGCAGAGGCAATAGGAAACAGTCCAGGACTGTACCAGGCAAAAGACATTTACGTGCTGCAATTTAGTGTCACAGTCAGGAAAATGTCCTTGAGGTAGATGCTGCGTGTGACTCAGTTCTTACCTGCAGTTAGAGACAACAATTGAAAGACTTGATGCAATGAAAATTATTCTACAAAGTGAATTTAATGTGGAATATCCCAGTCATGATGTCTGAGGTGCACACACTAATTTCAGATTTACTAATCCTCTTCTGTTGGTGCAGCTTAATTCTCTTTACCTGTAGAGTGCTGTAGAATACCTCTCTACCTGCAGTTGTCATTTCTACGTTCAGCCTGGCAGCACAAAGGTGAAACTGGCATATACAACAGAAGAATTGCAAAAGACTTGTGACAGCTGGGAAGCACGTCAACTACCATCTGTTGATGCCAACAACATTTATTCCTCACATTGTGGGTGCTTGCTTTTAAACTGTAGAATATTTCTAGATCAGATCAGCAGTCCTGCAGCCAATCCATTCCCTCTGGACCTGCCATCTGAATCAAGAAGAGAAGTTGTGTGCTCCTCTCATTCAGGAGGTGTCTATCATTTGAACAAACATTTCATCCATCTTTTGGCAAATGGCAACTCTGTGAAACAGCTGCAGGGAGGCAAAAAGCCTTACCTTCAAAGTGCATGTTCGGCATAAGGTGTTGACTGCTAGTTACTCTGATGGGTTAGCAGTTCTGAAATGAACAGTCCTTTAGTCCTCCAAAACCCACACTTAAGAGAGCATTTACTGCCATTGGTTTAAAATGTGATTAAAGTTTCTCCTTTCTAGAGAAAAAAGACCCTAGAGGATTTATCAATCATGTAGCTGGTTGGAAGAGTAAAATAAAGCCATGTAGAGCACTCTTGCAGGAGCACAGAGCCTGTTTCTGATCAGACACAGCACATCACCACAACTCCAGAGAACACACAAGGTGCAGTGGGTAGGAAACTACACAGCTTTAAAATCCTCATGTCCATCTTTCCCATACATGCAGCTTTGGTTTTGCTGCATGCAAGAGACAGTGTTGGCCCTACCAGAACATGCTAGCCAGTCTATGAAAGTGGAAAACATCAATGATCACCTGTTGTTCTGCACCAGGATATCACAGAGGCTCTCTGCAGGGGGAAATCACTTGTAAATAAGCTCCCTGCAGCTTATTTAAAAGGCTCTGCCTATTGCACTGCCATGAGACTACCCACAGCTGTCACACACTGCAAATTTCCCAGTGAAAAGACCATGC